TTTTTTTGGTTTGTGCTTGAATCTAGAACTTCCAACCTTTGCAATTCATGATATTTTCGTGGGTTTGGTTGTTTCTAATTACTTGAATCTAGATACTTTTATGAGTTTGTAAAGTTGAATCTGAATATTTTTTAATCTGGTTATTTTTGTCAAATCTGGATTTTGGAAATTTTTTCATTTTGTTGAATCTCAGATCATTTATTTTTGTGAATTGTGCATTGGTGTTTAAACCATAAACCTTTTTGACGTCTATGGGTGTTTGGTTAGGTTGGTCATTGTGTGGATTTCTATTTATAGTTTAGCTTTTGACATGGGTTTGATTTTGAAATGAGAAATGAGTTTTAATTTTTGAAATAAGTTTTGTTTCATGAAATGGGTTTCATTTTTTAAATGGTTGTTTCTGATTACTTGAATCTAGATACTTTTATGAGTTTGTAAAGTTGAATCTGAATATTTTTTAATCTGGTTATTTTTGTCAAATCTGGATTTTGGAAATTTTTTCATTTTGTTGAATCTCAGATCATTTATTTTTGTGAATTGTGCATTGGTGTTTAAACCATAAACCTATTTGACGTCTGTGGGTGTTTGGTTAGGTTGGTCATTGTGTGGATTTCTATTTATAGTTTAGCTTCTGACATGGGTTTGATTTTGAAATGAGAAATGAGTTTTAATTTTTGAAATAAGTTTTGTTTCATGAAATGGGTTTCATTTTTTAAATGGATTTTGATTTCAGAAATGAATTTTTTATGTTCAGTTTGATTTCTGACATGGTTTTGATTTATGAAATGGGTTTGATTCTTTAATGGGAAATGGGTGTTGATTTTTGAAATGGGTGTTGATTTCCTATGGTTTTGAAAAGCTTTTGATTTATGAAATGGGTTTTAATTTATGATATTAGTTTGAAATGTTTGTTGTATGGGTGTATCTACTTTGACCTGTTGAATTTTCTGTGGTCTACAATTGACTACATAACATGTGTCTTTTTATTCTTTGTTTAATTTGCTTTTCAAGTTGTGGCATCGGTTGTCAAATTGGTTGTGCATTTGATGATGGTTAGAGTCACTTAGATTTATTTCTTATGAGTAAAGGTTTAATGTTATGAAAGTATTTATGTCATTTTACTTCTTCCAATATAAACGGTGACAACTCAAAGTGAGATTTTTTTTTTATTATTTCTATGTATAAATTTAATATCAAATAATGTTTTAACTTATTCTTCATGACATGTAAGTAGGCACATTATGAGCTTGGATGCCAATTCTGATAGAGTTCTCTTCCATTATAATGGACATGGTGTACCAAAATCAACTGTTAATGGTGAAATTTGGGTATTCAATAAGGTTAGTATCTAATATGAAGCTATGATCATGTTCTTTTCTTTATCACTTCTAGAGTAGTGATGTTGTTTCTTAACTGTTCCTTTTGGTAGCTTCTTCTTCTTCTTTTTGTTTTTGTTTTTGTTTTTTCAAGTCTGGAACAATACATTTTGGTACCAATCGGTGGTAGTAGATTGGCTTAGAGTGATGCCTACTTGGTACTCAACCATTGTCAATCTTCAACTAGACTCCGAAAAGGTATTTTACTTTGATTGTTTGTTAGATTGCACTCTCACACTCAAATTTTAGTTGGTTTTGCTGAAAGGAAAGCATTAGTTACAATAATTGAGAGGACCCATGGCGGTAATGGACCCATGGTAATTGGGTCCCCGATTAATACATTGTTAAGCTTACTCATTTTCGTTGTTATTTTTTCTCATTTGACAATGCCATTGTCTATTAAAAAGAGAAACCATTGTGTGATAGTGTATGTGTGCAGACAAGTGGAGTGAGATCAACCAATGATGCTAAGCTAAGATAAGTTCTATAGTAATTTCTATTTTTTTTCCTTTTTTTTTAAACTCTCCATTTCCAACCATACGCACTATAAATCTAATTTGTCATTACATATATAAATGAGGGATTTTAATCTCTAATTTGATCATTTTATTTCATGTGATGTTTGTTATTTCTTTATGATTTTGGGGTTCTCATGTAGAGAGTTGTACTAAATATAATATTTATGCTGCCAATTGGCAGCTTGACAATAGGACAGAGTCAGTTGCTTGAAGTTAGTTTCTTTTGTTGAGTCGATTTTTGGATTCTAGGATTTTGTCAAAGATCATTTACTCCAAGTGGGTAGATCAAGTACTACTAGGAGTACATCCTCCTTATTGTTCCTTTGCTAGGAGAAAATGTAGTATCACCCGTAAATTGAGACAACTCTTCCTAAAAGCTGGTTAATGTTTTAAACTTGGTCCCTAAACATAATGATAATCTCTTTGTTCTTTGTGTTATTTATTCTAATTTTATATTTCTATTATGGTTTCAATATCTTAGTTTTCGTAGACCATAGCATTAGAACAATATTTTCTAATTAATATCAGAGATACATTTCATTTTAAGGGCTCAGATCAATCCTAATTAATATCTCACGGTTGACATCAATTTTCTTCCCGCTCAAACACTCTCTCTCTCTCTCCCACCTACCCATGTCTCCTTCCCCATTCCCGCTTTATCTCTCTCTCTCTCTCTCTCTCTCTCTCTCTCTATCTCTCCCTCTCTGTTACACGTCTCCTTCCATTCCCTCTTTGTCTCTCTCTCTCTCCCTCTCTGTTCTTCTTTCCTACCCTCCCTCTTGAGCTCGATTTCTGCCTCTCCCCCCCTTCTCTCTCAGTGGCTTCAAGTCGCAACCCTCCCATTCGCAAGGTAGGGTTTCCGATTGTGAATTGCGACACTGTGCTTTGATTGGGTCACCGAAGGCTAGGGTTTCCACCACCACAACCACCGTCATCATCATCAACTTCCTAAAATTCTACATTGACGCCGCTGTCTTCTTTTTCTCTCTCTGCTTCGAACCCCTATGGGAGCTCTCTGGTACCTCTCTCCCTCTCTCTCTCTCTCTCTCTCTCTCTCAATGCTTCTTTATGCTTCAAGTAAATCGATGTTTGTTGGTGGAATTGAGGTAATGGTTTAAATCGATGTTTTTGTTTATCATCGTTTCTGTTTCTAGTTTATTGTTGGGTGGTTGCCTATTTTGTGGTTCATGGTTTATTGTTTGGTAGTTGCCTAATTAGAACTATGGCAGAAATTATTGGTTTCTTTATTTTTATTTTTTTTAAAAAAAATTTGTCAAATGATGTTTTTATTGTGTGTAAAGGGTTTGAAGAGAACGATGAACACTGATTGTTTCTCTTTTTAATTATTTGTTTTTATTGACTGATTAATAACACATTTTGTATAATAGTTAGTATAGATTATATTCTGTGGATTGGGGCATAGATACATACAAAAAGATTTTAGATCAAGTGATAGAGCCAACTTGCTCTGGTTGAGTCATCCTCCATGTGGTCTGTTTTGTTTGCAGAAATGATCATGTTTTTGTATATTTCAAGGTTTGCTAGATCACAAATTGGGCTACATAGTATATAATAATATATGAGTTATTTACATGGACATCTCTAAATTATTAGAAAATATTAATTTTATTTTGATTTTATTAGTTTCTTCTCTATGTACAGAAAAGCATTAGCTAATGCATTATTTTTGTCCATTCTCTCTCTTCGGAAAACTCTTCAACTTATATTCTCATACGCATTTTCATTTCAGTAGAAATTAACTTCAAATTTTGTGGATTGGAGCATAGATACATACAAAGAAGATTTGAGATCAATTGATGGAGCCAACTTGCTCTGGTTGAGTCATCCTCCATGTTTGTTGGTGGAATTGAGATGACGGTTTAAATCGATGTTTTTGTTTATCATCGTTTCTGTTTCTGGTTTATTGTTTGGTAGTTGCCTATTTTGTGGTTCATGGTTTATTGTTTGGTGGTTGCCTAATTAGAACTATGGCAAAAATTATTGGTTTATTTATTTATTTTTTTAAAAAAAAAAATTTGTCAAATGATGTTTTTATTGTGTGCAAAGGGTTTGAAGAGAACAATGACAATAATCAACACTGATTGTTTCTCTTTTTGATTATTTGTTTTTATTGACTGATTAATAACACATTTTGTATAATAGTTAGTATAGAGTATATTCTGTGGATTGGAGTATAGATACATGCAAAAAAGATTTTAGATCAAGTGATGGAGCTAACTTGCTCTGGTTGAGTCATCCTCCATGTGGTCTGTTTTGTTTGCAGAAATGATCATGTAAATTTACCTTAGATTTTGTATACTCCAAGGTTTGCTAGATCACAAATTGGGCTACATAGTATATGATAATTGGGCTACATAGTCTTGGGTGTAAGACTCTTAAAACAGATAACTATTTTTGTAAAAAAAACATGTCAATAACAATAAAAAGAGGAAAAGTGGTATACTTTGGATCAGGATAAGAGATCAAAACAAGCCTCAAATCCAAAGATTTCTATCACCATTTCTTGAAATGTTTATTCTTTGTACAACAGTGTCATTTTTTGGGTGAGTATGTACAACAGTCTCATGTCTGACTTTTTCAGCATTTCATTTGAAGGGTCAATTTTTGTGATTTTGTGCATATGGAATTGGTTTTTTGAAATGGGTTTGATATCTGAAATCTAAAAATGGGTTTGATTTCATCTTGATTCTATTGCATTTCAAACTCAACCCATTTGTTTGAATGTGATGTATATAGATATATATCTATATATCTATATAATATGGCACAAGGGTTTTTGAAAATGTCATAAAATGTCTAAGAGATCCATTTTGTATCAATGGCTAAGATTAATTCCAAGTTTATATCAAAGGTTCAAATGAATAGATCTCCCGCCTAAGACTTCTCTCCACCTACCCACATTTGCCTCCCCACCTTCCCTTTCTATCTCTCTCTCCCTCTCCCTCTCCCTCTCTGTTCTTGAATACATCTCTCTTTCACAGATATATCTCTCTCTTCCTCGTATCTCTTTCATACTCTACTCTCTCTTCTCTTGCGATGACCACCGACCACCTCTCCTCTCCCTCGCTGGAGACCCAAACTTGAACCCTCTATTCCTGTCTTCCTCCCTTCATCTCCCGCTTCTTCATCCCCCTTCCCCATTTTAGGCCTTTGTTTTGCAACAAACCCATACCTTTTTCGATTCAGTGAGAGGAGAGAAAGAGGAGGGCATCGTCGTCCCGCCCCACCGACGCCGACGCCCTACCCCGCCGTCCCCGACAAAAAGGTTCGAAATACATGAGGTAAATCTAGATTCAGTTTATTAGATTTCTAGATTCAGTTTATTAGATTTCTTAGACATGGATTTCTTATGCTACTACTATTATCAGATTCAATCTACTACTATTATCTTTTAATTACTATTATCTTGATTAGGAATCTAATAAATCAGATTGGATTTCTTATGATACTACGCTAGATTGGATTTCTTGGATTCACGGTTCAGTAATTAAAAGATTTCTTAGATTCCTAACCTGATTTATTAGATTCACAACTCCAAGACATGGATTTCTTATGCTACTACTATTATCGCTTAATTTATAGATTCTGTATAGTTCATTCCGCAGTTTACTTCCCATACCTGGGAAGTGGGTTCAATCTGTGACTACTATTATTATGGCTTATCATGATAGTAGCATAATAAGTTGTGGAATGATAGTGGGTTCAATCTGTGGAATGATAATAGTGGGTTCAATCTGTGACTACTATAATAGTAGTAGCTAAAACAGAGCATAATAATAGTAGCATCAAAGAAGATAGAGAGCATAAAAAATGGCTTATCAAAGATTCATGACTACAACCAATTTGAATCAGAATAATAAAATTTATAAATTCTTCATTGATCAATTAAGGCCGAAATACAATTGATGTGTATAGTTCATTCCACAGTTTACTTCCCTTGCCTGCAGTTCTAGAGGCTAGAGAGCATCAGCTTGATTATCACTTTTGAAAGTGCTTTATGTTAGAGCCCTGTTTTGACCTCTATTATACATTAACTCAAGTATCACTTAGATTGTTCTGATTGCCAAATTTTTTATTGTGCTTTATGACAATTTTTTTCTTCTGATTTTAGTTTAAAACAGTTTGTCCTAATTTCTGTACTGACTTTTTTTTTTTTTTTTTTGCTAAGTAAATCCAGCAAGCACATTTTTATTGGTTTTGTTTGTGTTTGAGGTATCTGCTATCCGTTCATTTGATGAAAAATATATGAAAATTTTGATGCCATGATGTTCAAAAGCAATGTTTACATGCTTAACGGTATGGTAATAGCTATCGAATGATTCTTTGATTGGCAAATGTGCATATTTCTTAACTTCGACTTCTACTTAAACTCTTCGCATCCAAATATATGTATATGATTTCCTTAAGAGTACTATTTTTTGTAAGTGGCATCTGTCTTACTTAGAATTGACATGAAACACGCAGCTTATAGTTTTTCACTGGTTGATATTGATATAAAACTTGCCCTATCTTAAGCTCTTAGGGACTACTTGATGGATGTTATGAAGATCCAAGCTTATGATACTGGAAGTTTATAAAATGAACTTAATCCATTCGGCTTTTTTATAAATTTTCCTCTTCTTTGGCACTAGATAGATACTAGTAATTACTTTTGTTTTGATTGGAGTACAAACTTCTTTTATGAAGGTATGTGATGAATAGAACTATTGACTTCGAGACTACTAGGGAAATCAAAGAGAAACTTTGCTATATAAGGTTACCAAATAACATCATAATTTGGCTTGCTTTTATGGAATTTGTTCGACCGGAAAGGGGTTTTGTTCGGGAGCCCCGTTCTATCCAAAAACTACCCAACTTGCATATGACAAGTTATATGAATACAACCGTGCCTCAATTATTTCAGTAGACCCGCTCACAAGTCCTGTTTCACTAATCTATTCTAACTAGGGCCCTATATTTGGTTGAACCAAATGGTACCATACCTTTCCTCATGACATGAACTGGAATCACCGAAGTCTCTCTCAAGCGAATTTAGTGGATTGCTTACACATTGTGAAACCATCTTAACCTTACTTCAATTTATGCAATTTAATAAGATTATGATTATCTCATAACATGATTCTTATGTCTTGATTAGTTATGGAGTGCAAAAATAACGGTAAAAATTATAATTTTTTAAATAGGTTATAGTTGGTCATGCAAGAAAGTCCATGAGGTCAGTTAATTATCTAAAATTTCCGTAATTTTTTCTTTTAACATTTTTTAGATGCATATTATGACAATAATGAATTTGGGACTGTTGTTGAAGCTATAAGCGACGAAAGATTGCAACTAATGGCTTACATAGTCCTGTCCAAGTTAAGACACCTACAATGATTCGAGCAGAGGAGGTCCAGTTCACTGCAATGGCTGATGCTGCACGCCCTGCATATATTTTAGAGACAAGGAAAACAGCTCCAGGCTTACGTCTAGTGGACTAAGTGGGATGTGTGGATCACTTATTTTGGCTTTCTCCTCCGTAGTTGCACTGTATCTATTATCCTTTTTTAATTGAATTCTTTTTGTTCATCTTTTGTCTCACTTAACAGGTACTAATAGGTGGAGGGTGGAATCACAGAATGCATTTATTTGATATGGTGATGATAAAAGATAATCATATATCAGTAGCTGGAGGTGTCAAAGATGCTCTCAGATCTGTGGACCTGTATTTAGAGCAAAACAATCTTCATATGGGGGTCGAGGTAATCTTCTCGCCCCAACTTTCAATGGTCTATTTCCAAGATGGCTGACTACAAAAAAAAAAACATAAAAGTTTTGTAATCAATGAAAAATGTCTTGTGTTGTTCAATATAATAAATTATGAATTTTTAATTTTATCAATTTAAATTTTAATCTTTTGATTTTTTTTTTAATTTAAATTATTCGTCTATTTCCGTTAAGTAAAGATGATGGGAAAATTATATTTTAACCGTCGAACTCGATATAATGTATATAAAATATCTAAAATATTGTTTTTCGTTAACTTTAATGATTTAGTCCTTGTGCATTTAGAGAAAGCAAGAGAATTAATTAATTAATTAATTTTTATTTATAAGATATCACTCTAGCAAACTTTGGCTGCTTCTTTTGAACTTGAGATCAAGCATTATTTTAAAATTAAAAGGAAAAAAAAAAAGGCTCCCTCTACTTCTACTTCTAAGAGTGCAAAACAACAGAGCCACTGCTCTTCGAGGCTGGTTCCTATAGTGGACAATCCGACTGGTTCCTATAGTGCCATTCCATCCATCACTGCAATTTATTTGATTTGTTTCCTTGCAGTTATTATTACAAAATGAAATATCATTTGGGACCTGAGACTACCATCCTTGCTAAGAATTATACTGTAAGTTAATTCTCTGAGTGTGTAATTGTTTAATATCTTGTACCATCATAAATTGTATCATAATAGTTTCACATTTGAATGAGTGAGTTCACATCTCAAACAACTTTGCTAAATCTGTTTATCCTCTAAATATGCTTATATAAGCATTTATATATTTATGATGAGAAAGTGAAAATGATGTATTGCATGCTTTGTACAAAAGAAATAAAAATAAATGTACTCACAGTTTGAATTGTAAAATTTAAATTCTTTTATGTGATGCAAACCAGTGAATGATTTTGTAATTTGCAACGTCTATTATATTAAAGGTTGGGCATGATTTGATACAAGTATATATCGTCATCTATTGGTTTTTTGTTTTGCTTCAAACCTTTAGGCATATGAGCTTTGGTTAAGTTTGTTTGAAATACTCAGGATTTTCTTGATTTAATTGAAATAGGTCATTCTTAAAAGACTAATATGACTCAGCTGCTAGAAAAGATTAGATGCCTACTTATTTAGAAGTTAACACAATGCCTATGGTTATTGAAAAGTAGATCTATGTGCTGAATTGGTCAAATGTGCTTGCTCAATATATAGTTATATAATAAACTTTCATGTGGTGCAAACCTTTTGCATTGTGACTTATGGATGGACTCGTGCAATGTATTACCTGTTTAGTCTAATCTGGCTTTAAAACTACTCAACTACACCCAAATGGCAACTCTTAAGTCTTGGTAGTAGATTATGTTGACAGCACATCACCTTTATGACTATTGTGTTCATGTGGCACGATTTGAGCGCCTTACGGGAGTAACAATGCCCAAATGCTTCCCTAGTCCACGTAAAAATTGGTTTTTAATGTTGGTTAATTAATTTGAATCTTTCAAATGGAGTCAGAACTTTTTACAAGATTGTATGAAGTTTCTTCGTTTTACATGTCATATTTTTCAGTGGTGCTTTCTACCTACTGGCTGCTTTCCAGTAGCGATTATTATGTGTGCGAATTTCAGAATTTGAAAAATATGTTCAAACTACTAGAGGCTGCCGTGGATAGTTCTTTGTAGGATGTAATTAAAGTTTCTTTGGATAGTTCATGTGTACCAATAATTCAATTGGTGGAGGGATATCTTGTCAGTGACGATCCGTTGTGTGAAATTGATTAGTTCCAATTGGGCTTGAATATTGCAAAGTCTTTGTCTTAAAAGCAAAAAAGCTGAATGCTCATTTGGAAACACCATCCCAAGGTCTAAGAAAAATTGGAGAAGCTGTTAGAAGATACATTGTATGGCACTCGATTCATGTATATATTACAATCTTATTTATTAAATTATTTTTTGAAATAAATATCAATTGTTTTATAGTTTTTGTAAGCTTGAAATTAATTGATATTGTCAATAATTATTTTTTTTGTTTCTTTTGCAGATGCTACCTTTTTGAGTATGTGATGATATCTTCACATATCATTATTGAACCTTACTGTTGATACTAAAACAAGCTATTAATATTGTGGAGAAGGTGGTTCGGAAATACTCTTTGGATTCAGTAGGACGCTCGTGATCCTCAGGTAGTCACCTGAAAAAGAATGAACACTCCGGTCGAGGGTGCCGGAATTAGCACTCCGAC